TTGGGGATAGCACTTGAGATTATTTTTATCATGGTTTAGCATGGTTTAACCATGGTTTAGCATCTTTTTCCCCAATTCAACCTGCCATTTTCAGGTGATGATCCCGAAAAAATCGGCCAGGATGCGTTGCTCACCGCGCTCATGGCCTTGCCCTTCGGTGCCAATGTCCGACGCGAGGAGACCTTTCACGTAGCCGTGAAACCTGGTGTTTTTCTTAGGGACATTCAGGTACAATGGATATACTGTAATGGGAAGTCCCCGAACTAAATGGAGTTTTTATATAATCAGAAAATGATCTATAAATGATGAACTACTCCTCATGAAGTAATGTTACGCGCAAACCCCCCAGTTCGCCCACACAACTTCTTAGGGATTTTGAAGGAATATAAATTCCCACCCCCGTTAAACTTTATATTCAATTGGGAAGATCAACAAGGGTATTAGGAATGTAAATTCCCACCCCCGTTAAACTTTACATTCAATTAGGAATATCAACAAGGGGATTAGGAATATAAATTCCCACCCCCGTTGAACTTTACATTCAATTGGGATGATGTTGTTGTTGTAACATTCAACGCAAAGGTAGCTAAGCTGTGCGTCGCAAGATGAAAGCCATGATCATGGACATGTGCATTTTGTCCCACAAAACACAGTGTTTTTTGATGTTCGGACATGTCGTCGGCGTCGGCGCGGGCAAACTGAGGGGTTTGACCGTCATGTTACGGCAAGACCCTATGGTTTGTCCGGAAGATTAGAACGGTGTTCAAACATGTTCAAACATTATCCTTCGACATGCTCAAATACCAGTGCAGGGCCAGTGTTCTGGTATTTCCCAGACGACGAAACCTAAACCCAAAATCCTAAATCCTAAAACCCCAAACCCTAAAACCCTAAAATCCTAAACCCTGAAAACTTTGAATCCTAAACCAGAAAACACTACGCATATGCTGTATTTCCTGCAATCTATCTTATCATGTTCAACAACAAGGCATCCTCAATGTTGCAGTCCGGGCAAACTACAAGGTCTGTGCGTAATGTTAGTAAAGCAATGCGATAAATCACCCATATTTTGATGGTGTATACCAGCCATAAAAATGCTAATTTTTGGGATGGTGGATGCTATTGCTTTACCAACATTAATTTTCACTTCATAAAATCTAAATTCTGAATTCAAGCGGGTGGCACTTTATTCAAAATTCAAACCAGGTTTTAATGAAGACTATGTACATCATAACTATTGAAGATGGTTGTGCAGGGAAACCTGCAAAAGCTCTTGATGCCCTGGATTTCAAGACGAGGACTTCCCGGAAGATCAGTAGCCTGAAGACAATTGTCAAAGTGAGAGCATTTTGCAGCTGATCGGGTTTTTGAGTCTTTGGACAACAGGAGTTGCCCCTCTTTGTGGAGACACTGTTGGAGTCAGGATCTCCTGTGGGCTGTTTGGGTGACTGTTATGACCTGGCTGGATCAGCTCTAATAAGAGCTCAGAGAAGGTCAGAATCATTGAATCAGCCTCTGCTTCTTGGTGGATATTTGGATATTTGAACTGGTGGTACGGTGGTACCAATCAGAGTATTTTTGAAAGGAACATCCAGAACTAGCTTCGAAGTGAGGTTGGGTCTCGCCGAGGTTCTATCCACAGCTCCTAACTCTGGCGCCTGGAGAGGGCAGTGACATGGAGAGTGAGGACGAAGTGGAAGTGGAAACCATGGGAGCAACACCCTGAAATGGGTACCAGGCATAGGGCCCTACTTGCCAAGTGGCATGATTGTATCAATTATATCGAAGTTTAACCCAAGTGGGCTCTGTAAAAAACCATCAGCTGTGCCACTATTTTGGGGGTGTCCTAAGTCATAGGGCTACCCCCAAATCATCCATTTTATGGGATCTCCACTCTTTTTCATAGTTTCAATATATGGGTGCCAGAATTGGGGGGTAATCCCAAATTTATCATCAATCTTAGATGGCTAATCCCAAATGTCATTTTTTTCCAGTTTTTTTTTCCCTTGTCGTGTTTGTCAATCGATGGATTTTCCATGCAATCTGGGATGGCCCATCCAGCTATTGGGCTAACCCTGTGATGCCCGCCCACGGCACCGCTGCCGTTTTTCAGCACTTGGTCCTTCGACGTCCGTAGAAACCACGGGTGGCTCAGGCAGCTTCGAAGCTGAAAAGGAAGAGTCGTTGCTGAAACATCATCATATTGAAGTGGGAAATGAACTATCAACATGGCCATTTTCAATACTATGTTAAATTGAGAAAGGGTATCATGATTTTTCAGTTGAATATTTGTCGGCTCCGTGATGAATTTTCAGTGTTTCCCCAGCAAAAGCGCCTAGTCAGCTCGTCGCCGTAGTATTTTTCTTTCTCACAACGGTTTTGGGCCGAGTATCACCAAAGGGGAAAGAAAATGACATTCGGTGGAATGCTTCGTACATCGCATCCGTGACCCGCCGTGACCCGTGCATCGGCAGGCCAAGTCTAGCTCGTTTTCGCACAGATGACTGGGAACCGATCCGATGCAGCCACTGAGACGGAGGCGTGGGCCATAAGTCGGCAGGGGGGGAAGTCTGCAAAGTACAAGATCCATTCGGATTCGGTCATTAGGTTAGTAAGCGGTTAGTATGTTCCAGATTTCATGTCAGCCAATTTCCAACTTCATTGGTTTCTTGAAATATCTTGAAATGGAATGTCCAAATCACGATAGGTTTCAACATTTTGTTTTTGGCATTTTTGTGATGATTTTTCTGTAGCCCTCCAAAGCTCCAGCCTGGGGCAGGCCGGCCATGTTCCACTGAGGTTCCCAGGTCCTTCCTTGCTTGGTGCCTGGAACTCAGCCGAAGATAGGATCTGAGTCCGGTTCCTTGGGAAATCGAGCTCGGTTTAAGATGAAATTTCACCATCAACACGGTTTAAGCGTTTAACCACCAAGCATGTGAAGCGAATCCACAGATGATTGTTGGTTGATGGTTAGATGATGTTAGATGTTGGGTTATACAAGCTGCTACAAGCTGCTTTGATGAGGAGTATGAAGTAGTACATAAATTGGGAGTCCTGCTGTCACGGGGTTTCCGGGATGAGAGAACGAGATCGGCTTCTGAAAACACTTGAAATTGGCTGTGACTTTGCCAGGTGGCGTTGAATTCTGTAGCCAAATTCCAGGTGGATGCTACCAGGGCTACCAGGGCCATGCTGGGAAAAGCCATAGTTGCTGACCGCTCTTCACGTGGATCCACACCTTCAGTGGCCGCTCTGAGGCTATGAGCGATGCAACAAGGCAGAGCAGAAGCATGTATTGAAGGCGGGCTGTTGGCATGGCGCTGGGTCGGCTTAAGTGCTTATACTGTAACACGGAGGTATCCATAAATTATGGGGGATGCTCCAAAATAGTTGGGTTAGAATGGATTTTCCTATTACAGTATTACAGTATATAAAATGGATGAGTTGGAGGTACCCCCATAGTGGGAAACCTTTATATATTAGAAGCCCAGAAACTTCTGGAGGCCCTTGCATGTTGTTGCTTTAGTCTCAATTCCCTAAAATGACTTGTGAGAACGAATAGATCCAGTACAAGACCGGGGCTTCGTTTGGAGACTATTTAATGTTGGGGGAAGAATATTTGGTGGTGGTATCCCATTAATATCAACATTTTGATGGTGCAATCATATTAAATCCCCTTTTTTCATGGTCAAGTCGGTCAAGTCACTGTTTTTGATGGTTAAAAATCACCATGTTGAATGGAAAACCCCCATGAAGATCCCACGGTTTCTGCCGGTTTCAGGACATGTCCAGCCTCGCAAGCATCTTGCAGAGCATGTTTGTCTGTGCTGGCCTTGGGTCTCGTCATCTCGGGTCAACTGGCTGCCTGGATCATGGCAGCCATGGCAGCCATGGCAGCCATGGACCCAGGTAAGAAGAAGGCTCATGGATTCATGAAATGGTGGTCAGGTGCGTCTCAGCGGTCTCTCGGGCTGTGTTTGGGATGGCTTGGGATTTGGGCCCATGTTTGTTGTGCTTTCAGTCTTTCCAATTCTTTCCATCTTTTTCTGTAGATCTCACCTTCAATTGGCTTAATAGTGTGCATTCATCTTCATAATTCCAAGGATACTCCCATCCCAAAGTCCTTTGCAACAGAGATACTGTACGTCCTTTGCTTTCCGGTGATTTCCTGGTTATTTCCCCTTTGGAGGCGCTGGAATGCCGCGGCTTGTCCGAACATGGCTCGGAGGGACAAAAAACCAGGAGGCTTTTCCCCACAAAAACCAAGCCTTCCTTGGGCGAATTTGAAGCTACAAATATATGTATAGTATAGACAATATATGTGTGTGTATTTATATATATATATATATTTGCGTATGTATATTTGGACAAATCCAAATGGCATGTTGTTTCTTGTCGAGACACTCTTGTTTTTGGGTTCGTAAAGTCCACGACTCATATTTTAAATGATAGGGAAGTTGGCTTCGCAGCAAAACGTTCAAGACGAGCTTACCCCTGGAATCTCGTGGGAGAGGACAGGTCTGCCGGCGTCCTTTCCTTTTACCTTCTCTATTTCAGCATCACCATTCTCAACATGACCATTTTGCGGGCGTTAACTAGACTTTCCGCCACTTTTTCACCACCAAAAATTGGTGACGAAACTGGGGATTTTGAGACATTTACATACATTTACCAAATCATTTCCCACTATCAGCATCCTCCAAAACTGGGACTACATAGCACCAATCACCACAGTCGACTTCCCCAAATCTCAGGCACGGAGTGATCTTCACCGATTGGCGCGAGGCCGGGAAAACTGGGAAGGGGACCATCACATTTTCCTTCCTGACAAATTGATTTGATGGTCACCTCTTTTGATGATGAATGACAAAACTCCATCAATAAATTGTTTTGATCATCAATTGTTCTGATGATTTTCTCACCGTGCAATGAGCCGTGTAAGGCCAAACCTTTGGTGGAGGGCTTGTCGGAAGTCGCGGCTGATTATGGGTGCGCCAACATCGGCCTGAACCACCAGATATGGATAGCAGCTATGGTGTGGAAATGGAAATGATCTGCAAATATATTTTGGATTTCCCATATGTGAATTTGGGAGGTAGATTTTTCACAACTTTGAATCTGCAGTTTCACAGTCAAAAAATCTCTTCAATTTGGCTTCAGAGAGTCCATACCATAGCCACATCATGCCACATCTACCTGCCTCGTGTTAGAGCCTTCACGTGGGTTGGTCCAAGGGGATACCCCCAAAATGGCGGGGGTACAGCAGCCGTGGTATCTCCATGAATACTGCCATGGCAGGAAACCCTTGGACGAAATTCTTGGAGAATCGTCTCTTGGTGTCCGTCATCTTGCTGTGGGCTCGTTTCATGTATTCTGGAGGTTGAGCGACCTTCCACCAATCATAGAATTGGATTAAGGGAAAATTTACAGGAAACCCCTATATTTGATGGTAAAAACCATGGTTTCCTGTAGATTTTCCCTTAAACCAATCCATTGAACCAACATCCTGAAGATTCACCCTAACTTTCATGGTTCGTTGGACTCTTCCAGACCCTATTCACCCCAAAAGACCATCGCAGTGGCTACCATTGCGGGGTTGGCACTGCTGCGCCAAGGATCCACATTTGTGTCATTGCACAGTCGTCTAAGGCTGGGGTGGTTTCCAAATTTGAAACCCTAAATCTGAAATATATACATATATACCTATATATATATATACACCTATATATATATATATATATATACTCTGAAAACCAACAGAAACCACTGCCTGTTCAAGATCACATGTTCCATAACCCTTGTGCTTCCGCAGCAAAGGGCATAGGCTCGAGGTGAGCCTGAGGCGGGAGGGATCTTTGCCTTGAGCGCCATATTGGAAAAGGGTGCGGCACTCCTGTGGTCTGGAGGAAACTATTTGGTCTGGAAGATCAGGGATCTACGACATATCCATTTTCATTGATCAGGGATCATTCTTTTGGAGGTGAAGGAGATCAGGCGATCTCCGGTTGGGCTGCTACCAATCTTTCGAGATTGGTAGCGGAGCCCGGTTCGAAGGGCGCTACCAGGGACCAATCAAAGGTTTCGACTTTGGGTACAATTACCGCTGGAAGGGATGAGCGAAGCTTCTGGAGGTGAAACTACAGGGATAGTTCCCAAAGAACTAGCCAGTTTGGTGCCAAGTTTTGACCCTGCAACGGATAATGTGGACATCTGGACAAGCAAAGTTGAATTATTACTTGCAACATGGCCGACCACCAAGCTGAACGAATTGGCTACGAGGTTAATTTTGGGCTGTAAGGGAACGGCTTATCAGAAACTTCAGCTACTTCGCAAGGAGGTGATGACCAATGATGAGAAAGGTATTCAACGGCTTGTTGAGATTGTGGGTGGAACATGGGGTCAAATCCCATTGGAAAAACGATTTGAACTGGCAGAAAGAGCTTTGTATAGATGCACACAGAAAGCTGATGAAACTTCGGATTCATACCTATCAAGATGCGATGTGGTTTGGACTGAATTGTTGGCCCGTCAAATGACTTTGGCTGAACTTCAAGCGTATGTGATCTTGCGAGGAAGCAAACTGCTGCCTGAAGACAAGAAACGTGTGATTGTTGAGACAAAGGAATCCAAAGAAAGTGAGTTGACTATGAAAAGTGTGACATCAGCAATTCGACTTTTGGGTTCTGGTTTCTTTCAGGACTACACTGGACTGAAAAGGGATAGAAACGCCAAGACCTACGATCACATGGCCTATCACATGGATGACGACTATGAAGGTGAACATGAAACGTTTTTGGCTCATGAGGAACTCTTGGAAGATGATGTCCTAGAGGCTCTTGCTGCTGAGAATGATGAAGATGCGATCCTAGTCATGCAGTTTGAGGACTCAATTTCTGAGACCATCCAAGCCGATGCCGAACTCTCGGCATACTATTCGTCCTATCAGGACGCCAGGCGACGATTGAGTGAAAGAGTGAAGGTGAGAGGATTCTGGCCGGTGTCTCGACGCTTTGACAAAGGTCAGGGTAAGAAAGGAAAAGGCAAAGGCAAAGGAAAGTTTTCGTTTTCAGGTCCAGGGTCACTTGCAAAACGGATTGCAAACTCCTTCTGCCGAATCTGCATGCAGAAGGGGCATTGGAAAAATGAGTGCCCCCAGAAGTCCAGTGCCAGTAACAGTCAGCCTTCCACCAATGCCAGTGCCAATGTCGCCCCGACGTCTTTCGTGGTGACGGAAGACGATGTGCCTGATGAGATCGCGCATTTTGCCGTTGTTGATGCCCAGGACCATGACTCCGAAAGTGCATGTTTTCATGTGGGGTTAGATAATGTGAATCTGGGGTCAATAAACAGGGGTAAGATAGCTGGGGAATGTAATAAGTTTGCCAAAGCCTTCCACGCCCGGTGGAAACACAACCTCAGGACGATGAAACCATCTGAGAAATGCCGCCGTGCCGTGACAATCCCAAAGCAACAGTCTTTGGTGCCTGCTCAAATAGATGCCCAGATCTTGCCTGAAACAACCTGCGATGCCTATTTTGCCACAACCGGAGCCACTGGAATTGTTGATCTTGGTGCTTCACAAACTGTGGTAGGAGAACATCAAGTGAAAGAGCTGTTGTCCAGCCTTCCTGAAGAGATCAAACATCAGGTCCAGAGAACGAGCTGTCACCTTACGTTCCGGTTTGGCAATCAGCAGACTCTCACCAGCCGCCATGCGCTTTTGCTGCCACTTGGAAGGGTGAAGTTTAGAATAGCCATTGTTCCGGGGAAAACACCATTCTTGTTGTCAAGTTCATTCCTTAAGGGGATCAAAGCTGTGATTGACACTGAAAAAGGAACCCTTTGGAGTCGAACTCTGAACAAAGAACTTCAAATTCATCAATCCAACAAGAATCTTTTTCTCATGGACATTTGTCAACTCTGGCAAAACCCTGAAGATGAGCAGCAGGTACAGAGAACCGATCATGCCGGATTCACATGTCAGCCCGTGTCCGCCAAAAGCGAAATCAGCAGCCAGTCACTTCAAGTCGACGTTGTTCACCAATCCCCAAAAGTGGAAACTGAATCGGCAAACCAAAACAGTGATGTAGTAGGTGATGTCTCCAAGGTGTTACATGCAAATCATCATCATTCATTTCCGCAGCCTGACAAGTTGAACCATCGTAGCGTGTCTCCCGCACCGTCCCTTCAGTGTCAAGTGACTCACCATGTCGGAAGTCTCAGTGAGTCAGAAGTTGCAGCAGTTTCGCAAGAACCAGCACCAAGAGGAAGCAGCCGACACTGTAGTAAAAATTCGCATGATGCCCCTCGATGTGTTGTCCAAGGAGAAGATAGCTTTCGGCAAGGCCAAGAACGGCCAACTGTTTCCAGAGGTTTTCAAGGATGCAGCCTGGACAGATTGGTTCATCAGAACTTACGAGAAGAGCACCAAGCCGGAGCACCAGTTGTATGTGCAATACGTGACCAAGAGACTGGACATGGAGATCAAAGCCGAGCATGCCAAGGGGTATCACAAGGAGTCTCGCGCATTGCTGGCGGATCAGAAATGCCAAGCACCAGCCGACTCCGAAGTGTGGGATCAGTTGTCAGAACCGGGAGTCTTCACAGACTTCGACATGCCGGGGATCAACAAAGTCCAACAGATGGAAGAGCAAGTGGCCAACCTGAACCTCGAGAACAAGAATCTGGCATCCCGCATGGCGGGAGTGGAGATGGCTCTGCAAGAGGTTCTTCAACATCTGAAGGGGCTGAATGTCAAAAGCGAGCCGTAGCCGGACCAATTCCAATCCATGTGAGCACTGATGAAGGCATGCCTGACTTAGATTATGAGTTTATGTCACCAAAGATTCCCAACAGTTTTCAAGCCCGGATTAGTCGTGATGTGAAGAAGTTTTTGCTTGAGCTCCAGAGTGTGGAACAATGCCTGTCCAACAGTGATCACCGCAAATTGCCTCGCTTAGACCTCCTTGAAGTGATGTGCTCAGAACAATCCGAACTCACAAAACAGGTCCAAGGACTAGGAGGCAAAGCTCAACGATTTGGCAGAGTCCAAGGTGATCTCAGCACGACTGAAGGAAGAAAGCGTTTGTTCAACATTCTGGTTACCAGGAAACCCAAACACGTATGGATAAGTCCTGAATGTGGTCCATGGTGCCAATGGAGTCTCTTCAACATGAATCGATCACTGGAATGTTGGGAAAAAGTCATGCAACAGCGAACTGCGAACCTATGGCAAATTGCTCTTTCCATAGTGCTATTCCGATATCAACGCCAACATCGAAACCACTTTGACCTTGAACAACCGAGAGGATCAGCCTTGATGAAAACTCCTGGCATGTCGGAAATCCGAGAGCACACACTGTGGAATGAGTTTGATATGTGCCGAGTAGGTAACCTGAAGACACCTGACTCTCAGGAACACCTTCGCAAGCGAATGGCAGTTTGCTCAACTTCCGTGGACTTACACATGGCCTTGCATGGAAAGTTATGCTTAGGAGAACATCATCACCGACCAATTGCAGGACAAACCAAAGTTCAAGGCAAGTCCATGCCGTTGTCACAGTGGACAGAATTGTATCCCCAAAAGTTTGCCAAACAGGTAGCCAAAATCATGTTGCATGACCAAGGCCAGTTATGCCCATCGTTTGCAGCTGAGACCGATGACCACCCAACTAAGAAACGCAGGCTAGGTCAGAAGATGAGTCCTCAGGAGATTGAAGATCGTTTTTCAAGCTCCAGTGACATCAACTGGCAGACAGCAATGCAGCTTGCCGATCGCTCAGCACCACGAGTTGGCACACTGGTAGTACAACAAGGGGAAATCATTGACATGATCAAGACCATTTGTCCACAACATGACATAAAACATGTGGTTTTATGCAGGGGTACGGATAGATATGTTGGTCCCAATGTTCATATTCCCAGAGGTTTTGCACCACTACGACGTCAAGTCTGCATCCAAAGAAAGACCGAAGTTGTTCATGCGGACGAATGGGAACCATGGGAACACTTATCTAACCGGGGTTTGAGAAAGAAGGGAACTTCAGCAAGGGTCAGCATGACCATTTTTGCAGCCGTCAAAACCACCAGTATGTCGCCACATGCTGCTGCCTCTGTTCCCGCTGATGCCGATGCCACCAATCCTGCAGTCGAGAGAAGGCCACTGGAGTCCCGAAGCGATGCTGATGAGGGTCCACAATCCAAACGACCGTGCATAGACATGAGAGAGAGAGAGAGTGCTTCTGAGCCACATGTCGATGCCAGAACCATACCCATAACCCAATCCCATAACCAGAACCCGATTAACATTCCTAACCAAGACAATCACCAAAGCCAGGGCATTCACAATCCCGACACCGAGAGTTCACAAGCCTCTGCAGAATCCGAGCCCAATGAGATTCCCCGCCAAGTAATTGACTTAGCAAGCCACAAGCATGGTCCTGAGTTTTTGAAATTGAATCAAGAGGAACAATCCTGGCTCCTCAAGCTACACCGCAATTTGGGACATCCAGGCAGAGCCAAATTGACAGAATTCTGTCGTCAATTGCAGTGCCCAGACCATTTGATTCGAGCCATTGGGGACATCCGGTGTTCAACATGCCAAGAAACGAAAGGACCGGTAGTTTCTCGTCCAAGTGCCCTCCATGAAAATTGTGACTTTGGGGATATTGTTTCTATGGATGCTGTAACATGGACCAATAGCCAGGGAAGCCAATTTCACTTTTACCATTTTCTGGATCAAAGCACGTTGTTCAACACCGCAGTGATCGCCCCAGCACATTCGACAGAACATGCGTGTAGGGCTTTGCACACTGGATGGTTCAACTGGGCGGGTCCTCCTGGAATGCTTTGCGTGGATGCTGGAACCGAGATGAACTCTGAGGAGTTCAGCAACTATCTCCAGCGACATAGTGTCAAATGCCGGACATGTGCAGCTGAAGCTCATTGTCAAAATGCCAGGACAGAAAGGCATGGTGGTATAATCCAGCTGATGTTAAACAAAATTGACATCGAGCATCCAATCACCAACTATGATCAAATGTCCACTGCACTTAGCCATGTCACGAGTACCAAGAACCAATGGAGTCGCCACAGAGGCTATCCCCCAGAAATGCTTGTATTTGGTAAGGGAGTAAGAGTGCCTGGATCAATCACCGCAGATCCGACCGTCGCTGCCCATGCCACTGCCTTGTCACCAATGCCAGATGGTGCCCGATTTCGGCAAGAACTTGCGATCCGCGAAGCCGCTCGCAAATCATTTGCCATGGTGGACAATGACCAAACTCTCAGGAGAGCGATTGTCCATCGTAGCCGACCACATCGGGGTTTCTATGAAAAAGGGGAATGGGTAATGATGTGGAAAAAGAGAGGAGAATCTGAAGGTAGCTGGATAGGACCGATGCAAGTAATAATCCAAGAGGGTCAAAATGTAGTGTGGGTCACTCGACATCACAAACTATATCGTATAGCTCCTGAACACTTGCGAAGTTTATCAGCCTTTGAAGAATTTTCCCAAAAGACACATCATGAAGCCACTAGCCCAACCACAAACCAAACTGTCATGCCATCCCGGGGAGGAGTTCAATTTCATGACATGATCTCCACAAGACACCATGACAATTCCACAGATGGGAATCGCCCATCAACTGCCAATGCCCCTACACAGCCGGGAGATGCACGAGTAGAGGAAATTCCTGTGTCAATGCCGACACCCCAGACATCTCAGGTGGCAATGCGTCCATCGCCAAGCATTAGTGACCAACCAGATCTAGAACCTGAGATCCAATCAATTCCTTCCAGTGGATCAGAACAAAATGCCTTGAATCCTGACCAAACTGAAACACCAAATCCGATTGAAGTGCCTGTCCCTGATAGTTCTGATGACGATAGCTTGTACATTGAGGATGAACCTTTGTATCATGTTCGAGAAGATCAGGCATTGAGGTTTGAGGTGAACATCAATCAAAGGGATATTGAAAACTGGAAGGAAGAGACTCGGCCACAGGAAATGGCATTCCTCGTATCTGCCGCCAAACGTCAGCGCAGTGAGGTTAAGATATCTCAGCTTAGCCCAAAGGAGAGACAAATGTTTGAAGAAGCAAAAATGAAAGAAATCGAAAGTTGGTTGTCAACTGAAACCGTTTCCAAGATCCTTAGGCACCAAGTTCCCAAAGAACAGATTCTCCGATGCAGATGGATACTCACTTGGAAAGAGGTCGATGATGTCTCAAACCAAAATCAAGGGAACCAAAAGGTAGCTGATGGACCCAAGCCTAACAACCGGAAGCCAAAAGCAAGACTTGTTGTGTTAGGTTTTGAAGATCCTTTGGTTGATCAAATTCCTCGTGATAGCCCGACAATGTCCAAACTTTCCAGAGTTCTCATCCTCCAACATGCTGCAAGTTTGGGGTGGGACATACACAGTTTTGACATCAAGACAGCGTTTCTTCGAGGCACTGAGAGAAATCCCCGCCTCTTGGGAATGGAACCACCGGAAGAGATGCGACGAAAGATGAATTTAAAGCCTGAAGAAGTGGTGCGACTCCTCAAAGGAGCCTATGGTCGCGTCGACGCTCCTTTCTTGTGGTTTCAAGAGCTGCGTCAGAGCTTGCTGGAACTGGGTTTTTCACAGGCACCATTTGATCCATGCTGTTTTGTGCTACGCAGCCCTGACCAAAGACCTGAAGGCCTTTTGGGAATTCATGTTGATGATGGACTTTGTGCGGGATCAAAACGATTTCATGAAAAGTTGACTTTACTTGAAAAGAAATACCCTTTTGGTAGTCACAAAAGCCGTGAGTTTACTTTCACTGGGCTCAAGATCTGTCAGAAAACCGACCAGTCCATTTGGGTTGACCAAGAACAGTATGTGAAAGATATCCATCCAATCCAGGTTACAAAGGAACGAAAACAACAACCATTGGAACCTGTCAATGAAGCTGAGCGCCAGGGTCTTAGGGCCTTGATCGGGTCTTTGCAATACGCTGCTGTGAACACAAGACCAGATTTGTGTTCCAGACTTGGATGGTTGCAATCTCAAATAAACCGAGCAACGGTAGGAACATTAATTGAAGGTAACAAGATTCTACATGAGGCCAAAATGAATGCTGATGTCACTCACCATCAAGTTCCAACCGATTCCTGTCAATGACATTCGGTTTATTGCGTTTTCGGACGCATCATTTGCATCCGCCAAAGTGCCAGACTCCCATCAGGGCATGCTAGTGATGGCCGGACACAGAAACATCAGTACCAACCAAAACAGTCCTGTAAATCCGTTAGTGTGGCATTCGAAAAAGATTCAAAAGGTCGTTGTGAGTACTTTATCTGCCGAGGCTATGTCACTTGCAGGTGCCGTCGATATCCTTGCGTGGATCAGACTGTACTGGGCATGGATCCGAGATGGAAAGTGTCAATGGCAGAAGGCTGATGAGACACTCATGCAATTGCCACCAGCGTTTGCAGCTATACCACCTGAAGATGATTCCAAATCGTCACAACCACCTGAAGCAGTTCAAGATGCACTTTCAAAATTACCACAAACAATAAAATCTATCATCACCACTGACTGCAAATCACTTTTTGATCTGATAAGCCGACAAGCCCCACCAAGTTGCCAAGAGTTTCGCACCTTGCTTCAAGCCAAGCTCATCAAAGAACACCTGAGTAACGGAGTAAGTATAAGATGGGTACCCTCACAAGCTCAATTAGCCGATGCTTTGACCAAGATCATGGATAGTAGCGTGCTAAGGGAATGCTTGAAGAGAGGACGCTACAGCCTGCATGACGAAGATGAAATTCTCCGTGCCAGATCGGACTCCCGTGCCCGTTTGCAATGGCTCCGTAACATGTCCGATGGATCTAAAGGGAATGATTCTGAGAGGGGAAAAGCCAAGACGTCCACTTTGTGAATCTGCTATGGGAGAGATCCATTTCTGACGTGATGTCGAGCGATGCAATGTATCTTGAACAATTTACAGTTTTGGGAATCTGAAAACCAACAGAAACCACTGCCTGTTCAAGATCACATGTTCCATAACCCTTGTGCTTCCGCAGCAAAGGGCATAGGCTCGAGGTGAGCCTGAGGCGGGAGGGATCTTTGCCTTGAGCGCCATATTGGAAAAGGGTGCGGCACTCCTGTGGTCTGGAGGAAACTATTTGGTCTGGAAGATCAGGGATCTACGACATATCCATTTTCATTGATCAGGGATCATTCTTTTGGAGGTGAAGGAGATCAGGCGATCTCCGGTTGGGCTGCTACCAATCTTTCGAGAACATACACACACACATATATATACAATGTATATGGGTCGTTGGCGGCCAATACACACACATATATATTTATCATGTTCCTATCAAGATGGCCAGCTCTGTCGACAGAGTCATTTTTTTCGGGGCTGGAAACCTTGGAGCACACAGCGAAAAAGTGGGATACTGCAGATCAATGATCGGATCAGATTTCTTATCAGGATTCTGATGAATGGTTCCACAGAATTCTGATTTCCAAAATCAGAACTCAGTGACATCGTGCGAGTCCGCATGAAAATTCTGCGGAACTCGGCTAGCCCAGGAACCAAAACCAGAAGTGATCCCATTTGAAGAGGATAAGCTAATGAGTTAGACCTGTGACTCTGTGACGCAGATCTACCTGCGCGCTTTGGAATGGGGGAAGATCGTGATGAACAACCAGGCTGGATTGCAGAGCTACTTTTGGATGGTAAGGCTCTCGCTTTGGAACGCGCAGAAAACCATCGCTTTAGAACGCGGAAGATGATCCTCAGTCAGCTAGATGATATACATCAACTTCATCTACATCACATGCATCATCAACATCAGCCACAACAACTTTATCAACATCATCAACATCAACTTCATCAACATCACACCCCCCTTCCCCCTTAAATAAACCCTAAATGGCTAGTTGAGCATAAGGACTCCCAAGGCAAGAGACTAGTAAGAGCCATTACAGTTGAAAGCATGATGTAAGGAAACAATCCCTAAATGGTGCCTTTTTTTGATACACACATCGCTTTAGAACGCGTCACCTCCCAAAGTGCTGCCCCTTTCAGTAGCCATGATGCCCTGTTTTGGGCTGTGTTCTGAAGTGATTCTTTTACACTTTTGGATGATCACATGAGGTTGCCGATGGAGTTGAACCATGTTAAACCATGTTAAACCCATTCTGGCAGCTGAAATTTCCCCCAAACTGCCTACATTGGCATCTCGGATTCCCATCAACTTCCCCCTTTTTGAAAACCAGCGCCCTTTCGGGTTGCGCAGGTGAAGGTCGTTCCCCAATTCTCCATGGCCGAGCTTAAGGGGTCGGGGGAGCTTAAGGGGTCGGAAGGGGTCGGTTTTTGGTGGGTGGATCGACATCAAAATTCTCCAACAGATGATCCCAAATGAAGAGCATATTTTTAAGGGATTTGAAACCATCAAGTAGGTAATATACTGGAAAAATATGTTGATGTTTTGGAAAGTTGGGCCAATACCTAAAGATGTGATGATACTGGTGCTGACACTTCGGGGAGAAGCGAAATGATTCCAGTTTCACAATTGGTTTTACAAGCCATGTGAGAGTACGTTACAAGACCCTTGTGCAGCTTGTCCAGTGCTCAGTTCCCACAGGTACGCCAAAGATTGTTTGAAGCAGGAGGTGGATCTCTCTGGGGTCGGAGTTTTTGGATGTTTTTGGGGTCCCAATACCCTCCAGAAAAAACTAACATAGCTATGGAAAATGGTCCTTGAAGTTCGATGATTTTTGTGATTTCGATGATTTACGTATTAAAACTAGTGATTTGCAGTTCGCTATGTTAGTTAACCAGAGGGACCCCATTGGGATCCCTGGATCTGGGATGAACATTGCGAATCCTCAGTGGCTTTGTAGTCCATTGGCACCTCGAATACCGAGCCACTGAATATTCTGACCATTTCTGATCTGGGTCTCCTGAGAAGTCTTAGGTCAATCTGGATAATCTGGTGTCTATCTTTGCAGATGGCCGAACCTTCTGCAGCCTCCCGAATATTTCTTGTTCCATCACCCCACAAAGCACGCTTGCTTCAACGTATCTACCCGGATTCCCGCCAAACGTAGATTGGGGTGTTGAGAGCAACCCTGATCATCATACGGAATCATTTTCGGTAAATCCCAGCATATTTATCATTATTTATCCCAGCATTCCTTGAAAAACATCTCATTTGATGCTTCCCAGTGATGAAACTCCCACGATATCTACCCGTGATCTGCCAGGCCTTCCTTGACAGTGGTGGCCTTACTTGCGCCGGGAAACCCGGCGGCTGGTAGGTCTCATGAGTGGGTTATAGGTAGATGATAGCCACTTTTGGGGACACATTTTGTAATTATATATTATAATATATAATTATAATTGTCATATATATATATAATATTTCGTGGGATTGTTGTTAGGGCGTTGGGTAATTTTCCTTGTTTTCCTTGTATGTTCAGTCCACCTCTCAACCAATGGTTGATTGTTGGTTTCGTGCCAAGTGCTTGCGGCACTACTTTCAGATACCTGACAACAGTTTCTTTAAAAGCAGCCCATTTAAAATCGGAATTTTCCTTAAAACCTGTCAGTTTTTTGGTAGACTTCTACCGATTCCGGGAGTCCCACAAACAGAATCACCGCAGAACTAGTAATCTAAAGCTACCATCATTATTAAACAATTACTATTTTTTTGTTATCATTTACTTTATTTATTATCATTATCATTATTATTATTACTATGTTTTTAAAATAGTAATAATAATGATACTAATTGTTAATTATTATTATATCGGCACCAAAAGAATCCAGAATTGGTAATCCCATAGTATTCGGGGAATTGCGAACATATTCAGGGGGAAGGGATTAGTACCCTTCCGGTGCTCAGAATTACAACGGAAGATCTTCCGTCTTGGCTCATGATTTTCCCGTCCCGACATTGCCAGTAGTTATGTGCTATTGGCACCACAAAAAATAAATCAAGTTGGTATTAAATCCACTGAAGAACTATAGTCAAGTCTCTAGAAATAGATTCTGTAGATTACATAGGAGACAGAAAATTGAACATCTTGAACACTAAGAATAATCCTATTCCCCCAATATGAATGCAGTTACCCGCGGAAAGGCCTCGGATACGCTGTCCGAGACTTCTGCGAGCTCTGGTAGTACCTCACCAAGGCAGTCAAGCTGGATACTTCCATGGGTAAATTAACAGCATTTGATGAGGGAATACACTGGGATACATCTCATGGGATAAAAGATCGGATAGAACGAAAGAAAGAAAGAAAGAAAGAAAGAAAGACAGACAGGCAGAAAGAAAGAAAGAAAGATAGATCGATAGATAGATAGGAAGGTAGATAGATAGATAGGTAGATAGAAAGAAAGATAGACAGATGGACAGATAGATAGACAGATAGACAGATAGACAGATAGACAGATAGACAGAGAGACAGATAGACAGATAGACACACAGATACACAGATAGATGGATGGATGGATGGATGGATGGATGGATAGATAGATAGAAAATGGATGGATGGATTTATAGATAGATAGATAGATAGATAGATAGAGTGATAGATAGATAGAGAGATGGAGAGATAGATAGATTGATAGGTAGATAGATGAGATTAGATTAACTTTTATTAATTAGATATATAGATAGTCTAGATAGATTAGATAGATTAGATGGATTAGGTAGATAAGATAGGTTAGATAGATTAGATAGATTTGATTAGATAGATTAGATAGGTTTGAAAATTATATAAATTGGATAGATTTTATACGTAGATCAAATAAATTAGATAGGTTAGATAGATTAGACTAGAATTAGACTAGATCAGATTAGATTTTATAGGTTAGATAGATAGAGAGATAGTTCGACAGATACTGTAGATCGATAGATGGATGGATGGATGGATGGATAGATAGATAGATAGATTGGATTAGATTAGATTAGATGGATAGATAGAAAAGTAGATAGACAGACAGATTGGATTAGATTAGATTAGATTAGATTAGATAGTTAGATAGTTAGATAGTTAGATAGATAGATTAGATAGAGTAGATCGATTTGTTAGATTAGATATGTTAGATAGATTAGGTAGATTATAGATAAATAGATAGATGGATAGATAGATAGATGAATAGATAGATAGATAGATAGATAGATAGACAGACAGACAGATAGATAGATTAGATAGATTAGATTCAGATAGATTAAATAATTAGATATATAAATAGATAGATAAACAGGTAAATCAATAGAAAGAAAAAAAGGTAGATAGATTGATAGATAGATAGATAGATAGATGCTAGCTAGCTAGCTAGCTAGATAGATAGATAGATCGATCGATAGATAGATAGATAGATGGATAGCTAAGGTAGGTAGGTAGGTAGATAGATAGATAGATAGATAGATAGATAGATATATAGATTGATTGATTGATTGATAGATAGATAGATAGATAGGTAGGTAGATAGGTAGGTAGGCAGACATATAGATAAGATAAGATAAGATTAGACAGATAGATAGATAGATGGATGCATAGATAGATAGATAGATAGATAGGAAAAAAGAAAATAACAGAACACAACAAAAATAGAATAGAATAGAATATAATAGAATAGAATGATAGATCGATCGATCGATAGACAGACAGATAGATAGATAGATCGATAGATAGATAGATAGATCGATAGATCGATAGATCGATCAATCGATAGATAGATTGATAGATGGATAGTAAGATAAGATAAGATAAGATAAGATAGACAGATAGATTCCATAGATAGATAAACAGAAAAGAAACGATAAGATAAGACAGGACTGATAGTTAGATTAGATTAGATTAGATATGTTAGATAGGTTAGGTTGGTTGGATTGTTTAGATAGGTTAGATTAGATTAGATTAGAAACGATGAGATACGGTTGGACAAGATCAGATAGGAGTAGATAAGAGTAGATAAGATTAGATTAGATTAGATTAGATAATATTGGATAGGATTAGATAAGGGTAGATAAGATAATATAAAACTAGATAGATAGATGGAGAGGTCAGATAGATAGATAGATAGATAGATAGATAGATAGATAGATAGATAGATAGATAGATAGATAGATATATAGATAGATAGATAGATAGATAGATAGATAGATAGATAGATAGATAGATAGATTCGACACATAGATAGATAGAAAGAGAAGAAAAGAAACGATAAGATAAAACTGATAAATGCATTAGATGAGATTAGGCGAGATTACATTAGATTAGATAAGATTAGATAGATTAGATAGATTAGATAGATTAGATAGATAGATATATATATATAAATTGATAGATAGATGGATGGATAGATAGATAGATAGATAGGTAGATAGGTAGATAGGTAGAGATAGGTAGATAGGTAGATAGGTAGATATGTAGATAGGTAGATGGGTAGATGGATAGATGGATAGATGGATAGATGGATAGATGGATAGATGGATAGATGGATAAATGGATAAATGGATAAATGGATAAATGGATAAATGGATGGATAGATGGATTAATAGATGTATAGATGGATAGATTGAAAGATAGCAAGATAGAAACATAGACAGATAGATAGATAGAAAGATAGATAGATAGATGGAAGGATAGATGGAAATACATCAAGAACAGTTCATGTAATAAAAAAATGAGTCAAGCCATTCGAGCGTTAATAGGCGCACACATGGCTGGTCTTTTTTGGCACTAAAGCATCCCATATCTCCAACCAGATCGCGATCAAGGTGGTGTGTTCATATGTCTACAGGTCAACAATTGAGGAATGTGGCAGAAGAGAATTGGGGATGGCCATTTCACATTTGATTTTGGGGGCACCCCATTTTCAGCCATAAGGGTGAACTTCCTGGGTAGAGTTGAGTTCAACTGGACCAGGGCTCCTGAAGAGCTTTGGTGATTGCACACATTCCTTGTTGATATATGGCTATGAATCAATACCTATTAATACCATTTTTAGTGGGATGAACACCCATTTACCAGCTATTTTTATGTTCACCAGGGGTACAAGGTTTTGACCCACTGCCATATGGTTGGTGATTTTCCAATCTTTATTGGTGGGCGATCTCAGAAGATGGAGCCGCTGTGGAAGTACACCAATCAGATCAGGAACGATCTGGAACTCGCAACCACGTGGCAATGAAAATCCCATATCAACGGAGGTTTTTAAAGGGAAACCCATCTATCAATGGGGAATTTCCCATTGCCACATTTGATTACCGGAGGGTAGATGGAACCCTAGAATGACCAAAAGTGAAATCTGCTTGGCGGTTTCAAGCCTTTTTCCCAAGATCATGGACCTGCATCCATCCATGTTCCATGTTGGGGCGCAGGGACTTAATGGTAAGGCCCCCCTCAGCTCTGATTCGCAAATCCGATCGCATTTGGTCAGGCTCCTTTGTCCGGATTCCCAGTGACAGCAGTCTGGTCGGAAAGGCTTCGGATTCGTGTCAAGGGCAGGGTCTTTCCCCTTTCTTTGGCAACACGCATGATTTCAAGTTCTGGAACTTCTGCTTGATCTGAGTGCACCCTCAAAATGCCATCCACGTGGCAATGAAAATCCCATATCAACGGAGGTTTTTAATGGGAAACCCATCTATCAATGGGGAATTTCCCATTGCCACATTTGATTACCGGAGGGTAGAATTGGTCATCCTCTCGTCCCAGGTAATTCGGAAGAGAAGCTGCCATGGCTGAACTGGACGGATCTCATGATCGCGCTTCAGGCCAGGTGAACTCTGCAGACCTTGACGGTGCCATGACTGCATCATTGTGAAATTGTTACTTTTGCTGCTATAATATTAATATATATATATATAAAATATATTAATATATATTAATATATATTAATTATTGTTACCTATTATTCGAAGGAAGTTTAGAAGTCAAACTTCCGACAATATGGGCAGATGGAAAAGCAGAGGTGGGAAGAGTCAGAGAGGAGAAGAGCAGAAGAGAGAAGATCAGAGAAGAGAAAGAGTGAGAAGAAAGAAGATGCAGGTGCGCGAAAAGGTAGGAAAGTCGCGAAACACTGCCTTTTTCCAATGATTTGTGGCTCAGGAGGGTCGAAAAGTAGGCTCGCTAAAGCGGCGGGTGCGGAGCCATGTGGTGAGATGAGAGAGGAAAAGTTGCACGCCGTTGTGGCGCGAAACACATTTCCAAGTAAAATGCACAAAACACACCAACGTCGGAACACTTTTGGAAGTCGAGATGTCAAAAAAGCGCACGCCGTTGTGGCGCGAAGCACATTTCAAAGTCACTACACTACACTAACTACAACTACAGCTACAGCTCCAACGACACTACACTACACTTCACGACAATGACAACGACAACGGCAACTACATCTACATCTACAACGACACTACAGTACACTACGCTACAGTCCATTACACTACACTACACTCCACTCCACTCCACTCCACTACACCACACTAGACCACACCACACTACACTACACTATACTAGACTAGACTACACTACAGCACACCACACTACAGCACATTACACTACATTACATTGCACTACACTCATTACACCACACCACAACTACAACTGCCACTGCGCCACACTAATTACACTACAACTACAACTCCACTACGTGAGGTGACCACTGCAACCATTGCAACCATTCCAAAAAACACAACTCCAACCACTTTTCGGTCCATCAGTGGATTCGTTCTGCCATCCATGCATCACAAGAACTCACCTCTCCTGTAGACCACGGCCTTGTGCGGTACTACTGGTATGATGATGATTGTTATTTATCTGTGCAAGCATACTGGTTGTGTATTTATCGCAGCTTTCTGACAACCCCGGTTCATTCATGGAGCTACCTCAAAACGTCGTTTTTTTACATGTTTGACCTGATATGTCTTGCTTGCTGCGCAAGTCATCATGGTTTGGAGACCTCAGGCCTTAGGCCTTCAGAAATCTTTCCCAGTGAGATCTCAACTTGTTTTCACATCATGGGACCGAGGATGACCTGGTGATCTGGGTGTTTTTTGTTTAATATAAGGATCTCCTTTCTGACATGGGTTCTCCCTATCCCCACCCAAAGAATCCCAAAGATATCCCTATCCCCACCCCAAAAATATGGTTTTGTCTGAAAATGAAAGACCCCATTCCATCCACTGGTTAATAATTATTTTCACAATCATTTGCAAAACTTGGGGGTTATACCATTGTACCCAATCCTCAGGCACACTTATTTTCAAAGTTGGTTTCATCTATTGTTGATACTTAAATCCCTATTGTTGATGGTTGAGTAGTTGAGTCACTATTTGTGATGGTTAAATCCTATGTTTGATGTTGAACTCAGCAAAAAACCATCCATGATGATCCCCATGGGTATTCCAAAACCATATATCCTGCCGTGTGCAGGACCCATGGCAAGCGGCCCTGCTCGAAAAGGCGATCAAAGAAAGCTCGGCACAGATCGAGGCACGGCTTCTGGAAGTGGCTGGAGGTTGGAAAACCGCTCTTTTTCCTGGACAAAAAGGGCATTGATGATTTAACTAGCCAAACATTTGGGATTTGACAACAACAATTGGCATTTCACCCCACAAAAAAATCAGGGTTGCTTCAAACCACTGATGATTGCCACAGAACATCCAGATTTGTCTTTTCTATCCGAAAAAAAAAACGCGTGGTTTTGCACACTGCTGTGACAAATCGTTGGCTGCGACATGGGGTGTCGACTTCTCACCGTTCATGGCACAGCGTCGCAGGTGTACGAAGATTGAGCGAAAACTGAGCGAAGTTTAGAGCTCCCTGGAGTTGGAACCTGCGGGGACCTGGGGGAGTTGATTTCTGGAGTTGCATCCTGGAGCCGTCGAGCACCCATGGAAAAATATGGAAAACGGTCACCGAAGTGTAATAAGTGTGATGGTTTGTTTCAGTTCGAAACAGCGAAACAACTATACGATCTATACGTTTTTTGAAGACATGTTTGCTTGGAAATCATGTTAATCACCATTGATAAGGGTAAAATGGGTGTGTCCAGTGGCCAGTCATTTTGGTCCTTTTGGCTTTCCCCTTGCCCTTTTTCGGCTCCATCATTTGGAATATTTAGGTACCATCCCCATGTTCATGTACTGGTTGGTGCTTTCAATCATAGGCTTGTCCAGAAATGGGATGTATCCATACCTGAGAAATCAGACAAGCCCATGACATAGAGATACATTCACATGTTTCTTCTCTTCATCTACCATCCCGAGGGGGACACATGCTTCATCCCTTTCTCATGGTAATGGCTCCACATGGGACCATATTCACCAGATCCAAGTCACATTCCGCTTGCGGGTTTCTGGCGGGATCTCACCAACGACGGTGAACATTTGAGCATCACCAACTGACCAGCTTTGTATTTGAATTGGTTGAAGGCACTGGTAACATCTACAGATTTTACCCTTTACTTGATGCTTCTCATAAATCCATTGCTCGAAACTAACTTCTAGGCCCTTCCTTCGAAGTTGTCCTCAGGTGCATTTTTGGGGACAGGTCTTTGCTTCTTCTCTTCTGAAGGAGGGGGGAGGCACGCTTTTTTGATTCAAATCATCCAAAGGTGGGGGATATGATCATCATGGATACACAAATCATTACACTACATTCCCATTAAGATTGAAATCAATATCAACATTAACATCAACATAAAAACACTACATTTGCATTGCGTTGCATAAATAAAACAGTACATTACGTCCATGCATCCATGCATCCGTGCATCCATGCATCAGTGCATCCGTGCATCCATGCATTCATCCATCCATGCATAGATAGATAGATTAGGTAGATACATGGATAGATGGATGGATGGATTGATGGATGGATGGATAGCTAGATACGCACGTACGCACGTACATGCATCCATCCATCCGTGCATCTATACGTTTGATGATCCTATGGGATGATTTTATGGGTTGAAACCACCAGACAGGTTGGCCAAGGGGACATAATTGGATACCTTAGGCTGTAACCGCTGTAACCACAATCCCCTTTCTTGGGCGTAGTTTCTTCAACTCCCCGAAATGGTAAACTTGGGCATATAGGGCGTGGTCTATCATTGGGTCAATGTGACAGTTTACCATATTGACGAAAGGAAGGTTACAAGCGAAACATCCGAGTTACAGAAACTATTAAACAAGCGGTTTTAAGTAAAGAAGTGAAGTGAGAAGAAAAGTGAAGAGAGTAGAGAGGTGAAGAGAGCAGAGAAGTGAAGAGAGCAGTGAAGAGAGTGGAGAAGTGAAGAGAGTGGAGAAGTGAAGAGAGCAGTGAAGAGAGTGGAGAAGTGAAGAGAGTGGAGAAGTGAGGAGAGCAGTGAAGAGAGTGGAGAAATTTACATGGACTTGAATTTGGTTTGAAACTGAATTAGAACTGACTTTTGTTTGGATTCTTAGGAAGGTCCCAAATTTTGGAGCACTTTATTTAGGGGACCGCCACTGTATTTAGGGATTGAGATAGCAACAGAACGGGATTTGGAAAGCTAAGTATATTCACCCCAAGACCCCACAGAAAAGATCAGTAACTTTATTGAGGTTCGGTGGTTCGAGGCTCCCCCCTTTGTGCCTTTGTGCCTTTGCTTGCTTTTATGGGCAAGGTTTCATCCAGGTCTTTGAGGTCTCAATTTTCAGGAAAAAGATCCGGAAAAAACATGGGAACACCAAAAGTAACAAATCATTGACAATCATCAAACATGGTTGGCGCACTTGAGTGGTTTACTCATTAGTCCCGAGATTTGGCTGTGGCAGGGGGATGCGGCATGGCACTTGGGTGACGGACATTGCCGTCCTAAAGATAGATGCCAAGAGAAAGACTTGTCAAAGGAATGGGACGTCATAATTCAGAATTGTCAAGAGAAGGAAGTGTCAAGAGAAAGGGATGCCAAGAGAAAGGGATGTCAAGGGAAAATCGGGTTCAAGAGAAACTGGTGTCAAGAGAAAGTGGTGTCCGAACAGGTTGTCATGCCTATGGGCCTATGGGCCTATGGGCTTGCCCGGGCTCTACTGATTTTGTTTTGCGGGATCCTGGGATTCCAAAATGCCACTCTGGGACAGGCTAGCAGACTTCATACTTCCCAATGCCTGACTCATTGGTGTTGTGCAGGGGCCCTAGGAAGAGCTGCGTACGCCTGGTGGTTTGTGATTCAGCATTAGTGGTGGAACTTGACCATGGCTGAGTTTGAGATGCATTGAAGGCTCCTATCTGAAGGAGTGATTTCGAAACAAAGGATCCCCAGCGAAACTTTTGAACCATCCGGTGTGTGAAGAACCAAAAACAGGGGGGCATGCCTCATATTTTCTTGAACCGCGTTTGAACAATTCTAGAAAGCACACTTGAAGAACAGCTTCAGGCTTGACAGATCCACATTTGCCTGCAAAACTTGGGGTCGGCCAGTTGGATTCCCCCAAACATGGATGAGACTTTATCAGTGGACGTGATCAACCGAGGCCAGTGCCCTGTGATGCGGTTCAACATCGTCGTATTTGGACTCCGGCCGTTTCCGGCTCCATGTAGATTGGCCAGTACCCCCCAATCAGTTGTTGATGTTTGTTGCCTGCCATTGTCAAGACCCACTTCAAACAAACGCAGCCTATGATGGAATCAGGATTGGGGGAGCTGATGTATGGCAGAGGTAGAGTCGTAACGGATACCTGTGCCAGTATCACACTGGACAGTTCCAATACCCCTATTGCCTAGATCCTTTTGCCCGAGATCAGCAGGGAAGCGAATTCTCAATGCTGACCGACTGATCTTATTCTATGCCTGCTATGGCCTCGGCCTGCCAATTCTTGACGAAACGCCGTCCCATGATCTGTGGGAGAACAGGGAGGGAGTGACTCAGTGACTCAACAGCAAGGTCCTTTTTGCAGAGTTTCAAAATAGTTAATCCAATAGTTAATCCAATAGTTAATCCAATAGGTGACTCAAATATAGTTTCAAAAACTCTGCCAATCTCCCAATAGCAGACAGCACTTAATTCCGTCATTTCCCAAACGCACAACCCCCTGAAGGCGCACAAAAAAAGAACGCGGGCCCGGAAATTTTGGGCAGTACACCGTACCCTTGACTGCCCAAGGGCAGGAGAGCCTCTGGAAGAAGTGACCAATATATAGAATGATTATGGACCAAAAATGGGGGGACCACATTAATTGGCAGTTGAATGGTTGAAATCTGTCATTAAGTGGTTGGTGTGCCATTTGTTTTTTCAAAAAGGGTGATTTAGATCCTTTGACTTATGCTTCCTTGTGATTCTGTGGGCCGAGAGACAGGGGAATGTGGGATGAGCCAGCAATTTATAGCCATTTCAAGGGCAGAAAGTAAGGCCCTAACCCATGGAATGGAATAGGCTTCCCATTCTTGAGACAAAGCCCATATCCCCTTAATTGGGGTAGACCTGCATCATGCATTCAAATGGTATCCATTTGGGAGTAACTGACCAAGATATTTATTGGATGAGCCAAGGCCAGGGATGAGCGAGTTGTCACTAAATTGAACCAAAAAGCCCACCCCTAACATGATTTCATGTGATAAACCCGTGTAGACCCAATCAAAAACTATCCCCAAGTATCCCCAACAGAGGTTAATTGTCGGGTTTTTGTCGGTCTATCCCTATGAGAGGATGTGAAGGAAAATGACCCCCAGTCATGGCTGGATGGTGGCCTTGACTTCCCCAGAATCTGAAGACTTTCCTGCAGACTTTGCCGAAAGATTTGGCTGTCACATGGACCTGGCAAGATGTGCAACTGAGAATTTTGAGCATCTGGCAATTGAACAGTAGAACACCACCATTTCTTTACAGGCAAAACCATCCAACCTAATCGGCAAATTCATATCGGTATTCTGTGATATTCTGAGATAGTGAGGAAACTTGCCACATACAACCTTTTATCGAATTTCCCAGAGTGTCTTGTCTGGTCCCTTGACACCTGGTCAATATAGTATCAGTCTTTGGATTACAGTGATTACAACTTTTCATCTGTGGATCCGATCCGACGGATGTTTCCATGCAGTCTATTCGAACGAGTTGTCGATCAATGGGTCAAATGAGCTACAGGAATTGGTCCGTTGTTCACTCGTGTAGTCCATACATCCCTGATGGTTTCTTGGCCAGTTTCAAGGTTATCCTAAGGTTTGATGGGAGAGTCAAACATCAATCCATCTATGCCCACCTACCTGTAAGTGTATTCTCTAAGTGTATTCTCTGTCGTTTCATTGGTAGACTTATTTTCTGTATTTTTCTGACTCATGCTCCTTTCTGGCCTTCTTTATTTGGTTTGGTCATTCTTGGATTCGTTTTGGTTTCTCTCTTCCTTGCCACCTCGCAATCTTTCTAAGTTTTATTCATCTAGGAATCTAGTCCTTTCAACTATCCCGGGCTCATGAGCAAAGACCCAATGGATTTCTTCAGAATTTACACTAGTTTGTCTTGCTGCCTTGTGAGAACACTCTTTCCATCTTTCTCCTTTTTGCATAGCAAACTTTTTCCATCTCCTTTTTGCATCGCAAAGATCAGGGTGCCAGGTTTAGTGTCAGGTCCAATAGTCTCGGCCAGGGAGGCCTTTGCCACACTCCGCAACAAACCTTCTGTCCGAAGATCAGGAAATATATATGGAAATATCATTGCACAGACCAAAGTGACCAAAGCAGTTTTTCTAAGTCAACGTGACCAGGACTTTCCATTGGTTTCCAACTGAAACCAGTAGCAATTCTGGACACCCAAAGAGTCAGTTGGGCTGCCTTTTTA